TAGGACACAGGGAGGTTGATGGCTTATTATAATTTGATGTTTTTATATCTACAGTATAGTATCTTTTACAAACTCTATGAGTAAATGGCTTATAAAAAAAATCTCTTGCCCTACAAATGTTTCAGAAAAGCTGAGTGAACAGCGCCGTTACTCTGAGGCTGCTCTCCTGCTGGACCAATATGCCAATGTAAGTCTGTCACATTGGGTTGAACAATTTGGAAAACAATATGTACTTGTGATTTGCGAAGAATTTTGATTGCAATTAGATTTGTGATTTATGGTTTAATAAGGATATAAGCTCATATTTTAAACACGTTCTTGAAAGAACTGACTGAGCAGGTTGTATTTAACAGGACTGTGAGGAGGCCATCCTGGCTCTGATCACTGGGGCTGTTTGGGACGAGGCTTTGCGTTTGGTTTGTGTTTTTGGCTTAATTTCACTTCTGTAGACAGTATGTTAGGTCTCACCTATACCTGAAATTCATATCTCTCCTTTATCCCCTGTAGATTCACACACACCAAAGACAGGACATCACAGAGACCAACCTCAAACCTGCTTTGCTAGAAGGTACATAGCTCCTGCATTTCATCTAACACCTAAACCTCTCCTCTCATCTTCATTTGAATGCTCCTACATCTTTCAAATAGCTATTCTGTTTTTACATATCTACTGGCATTTTAAGGAACATTATTGTGTCCTCAGCTTTCAGCGCTCAAACAGTCTTTCTGGAGACTCAGATGTCCACATTCACGCGCCACAAGAACAGACTGGCTGTGGTCCGAGAGCAGAAACTCAAGGCCAGGGAGGACATGCTTGGTACAGATCATATAATATTTTTCATTGTTTTATTGTTTTAATTGCTGCTGAGAACTTTTTTTATAATATCAAAATAAAAATTACAGATTATAAATTTCAAGTCAGACAGGCAATCCCAATGCTCTCTGACAATATTTCTAAAACGTCTTAGCTCAGATGCATGAAAAATTAGCTTCCAGTTTTGAAACCTTACATTTAAAACTTGTCAGATGATGAAGGCCCAGACTGTGCTGATGCTGAGCTGTACAGTGAAGCCAGCAGTGTCCTGACCGGATCCAAGTATTCTCAGAGCAACTCGCGCATCTCCTCGTAAGACTACCACTGTTTTTATGATGTTAAACATCAGTGCATTCATGTCTTATCACTGCTATCATCTACTATGGTTTACGTAGGAGGTCATCGAAAAACCGACGGAAAGCAGAACGCAAAAAACTGAGTTTGAAAGAAGGAAGCCCGATGGAAGACAGGGCACTGATACATGCCCTCGGGGAGATCATCACCACTGTGGACAAAATGAGAGGTACATCTGTCTGCTTATTTTCTGTATTACTGAGAACATCTGGATCTAAGTTGGGCTCATGTTCTAGAATTGAATGTCACAATCTCTGAGCAGTTGTTGATATACAGAATCTATTGGAAGATTTTTTTTAAGGAACTGTATGCAGCCTGTGCTTTTACGGTTTTAATAAAGGAAATACAGTCACAATTGAACCTGGATTGGCAGTACTTTAAGATGTATATTAAGAGGACATATACAGGTTTTTCTCATTCTCAGTGTATGAACATCTAACTGGAATTCAGCATTCAAAGGCAACCCAAATGAGAGACTCACATGAGGCTCATTTTATTTTCTGATTGGATAATTGTCTTGAGAAACAAAACACCAAATTGTAACATAAATTGAGCTGTCATGTCCACTGTATTTGTAATTAAGAATAAATCACTGTTAGAAATGTCAGTAGAATATAGATTAATCTGGAAACACAGTTAGGTCATATTTATGGAATTTAACATCATAATCTGGTTCCTTTTAATGTAATATCTTAACAAAAAATTTGCAAATGTTCCATCTGATAATTTGGTATTAGGAATACACAATTGGATGTGTTTACAATTATAACTCTGTAATCAAATTTAAAGTAATAATGAAAATAGATACAAGGAATATAATTGTGGCAAAAGTTTTTTAAAAAGTTATGTAACGATGAATTCCTGGATGATGGTGGTTATTTCATTAATTAATTAATCATTGCATTTATATAGCATCTTTCAAGAAGACATCCAAAGCGCTTTACAGTTCATTGTTCATTCACTCCACTCTCGATGGTGGTAAGGTACTATTGTAGCCACTGCTGCCATGGGGCAGACTAATGGAAGTGAGGCTGCCAATCTGCACGATGCCCCTTCGACTACCACCATCTCTCACATACACTTCTTTCACACTAGGCAATGTGGGTGACGTATCTTGCCTAAGGACACAATGACAGTTTTTGCACCTAGTGCCCCACTGTGGCACCAGATTTTCCCAGCAGTTTCTCATCCAAGTACTAATCAGGCCCAGCCCTGCTTAGCTTCTAAGATCTGACGAGATCAGTCTTTGACAAGCCGGTATGGTTCCAGAGGTTGCTACTTAAAGGTGCATTGTGTAACTTTTCTGATGCTTTTCTCTATGGAAATGTCTTTGCTATGTCTGGAATGTTTCATAGTATGGTATTAAACCTTTCTGTCTCCAGGGAGACCAAACCACACCAAATTACATGTCAGATCCGTGGAGAGGATCCAAAAAAGAGAGTCACCTAAAAGTTACATAGTGCTCATTTAAAGCACTAAATGACTCCCTTCTCAATATATTTAGTATCAAAATGCAACTTTTTTACTTTTGATTTTTTACTAGGATTATTTATAATCATTTTTTACAGTTGATTAGTCACAAACATTAGTTAATTGTTGCAGCCCTAGTGAGCTCAAAAGACAAATCTAATCCACTAGACCAAAAAAAAAAAAAAATCATAGTACTTGATAAAGTATTCAAACCTCTACTGCTCACTGACCTGTGCCCTGTCTGCTGTGTTTCAGAGGAAGTGCACGGCCTGCTGAAGATGTTAGTTCTGTTTGAGTTTGAGCGGCAGGCACACAGGCTCCAGGAGCAGTATGCAGAGGCTCTGAGTCTGCTGGAGACCTCTGTGCCTGAGGTGTGGCCTGAGAACACGCTCAACTGCACTCCGGTCAGTCCTGATTTTTACTGCTTATTACACACAACAAGATTTCAGTTAGAATGACAATAAGATGATTCAGGGTTACTACAACAAAATGAACAACAAAACCATCACCTTAGTAACAAATTTTTGACGTAGGTTAATCTTGTTATTAAATCTGAATAAAGATGGGATATCAGTGTTCATAATAACACAAAATGTACTCACTTTCAAAAACCTTTGAAAAGTAAACTTTACACTAAAATATTATATTGTGTTCATGTATTTAAATTATTGCACTACTATTTATAATATATTCTATATTTAATACCATTGATTGATACTGTTTTTTGCTCTGTAGCTCACTGGGCCCCAGAGCACGGCCAACAGCATCTCAGCCTCGTTCCAGCAGCAGAATCCAGCAGCTCCTCCACAGGCCCAGGCACAAGGTCAGATATATAGTATATTTAATTATTGTGTATTATGTATTTTACCATGTATTTTTACCAATAAACTTACCATGGTTGTATTGTTTGTTTTTAGATGCTGAGATTGTGACTCCACCAAAGCTGAGACATAACATCAAGTGGAAGCTCACTGTTCTAACATAAAATATATGTATTTAATTTAGCTTTTTTTTTTTATCTTTACATGTACATGTTATTATGAAATATTAAAATATGAATATGAACTGTATAAAAGGGTGTCCTTCTGACTGTTTGCTCTCAGTCTGTGTAAATGTCAGTCCTTCCACTAAATCAGGCTATAAATAAAACTAGCTATTTAATTACTTTAGCAGGGTTGCTAATCAGAACCTTACCTGGCAAACGTGTATGTACTTTAAAAACACAGAAAAGCATTTGCAGCATTACCACTTCATGCTGTCAAAAGCACCACCTCCAAAAGTAACAGTCTTCGAGCTCTGGAGAGGGAGGCTACGTTTCTGTGCACATTATGGTTTAGCCCTGGTCTAGTCCAGGTTTAGCTCCAGGATTGTTCCATTTTGTCCGCATGTTGATGCAGTGTTTGTGTAAGTGTTAATGAATCCCAATGAAGTGATCAGTTTGAGGACAGGTGGTCTTTCAAACCATTAAGCAGCTTCATGAGTTCCTACATTTCTGGATGTTATGAAAGTATCTAATCCTGATCCAGGGCAGCCGTGGTTAGTCCAGAGCGCCCTGAGCCACAGTCCCAGGTCTGGTCCCCACATGGCCCCAGTGTGTGGAGGTCTGCTGGTCCCAGATTAGACTCTAATTACAGCCTGTGATGGTGGAGTGAGGCACAAACATCCAGCTGCTGGTGCTGCTATTTTCTCCTCTGCCTTGGACCAGAATAGGACTAGGCCTGGTCAGCCGTGACTAATGCAGGCCCTATGTTGGACGGAGAGCTCGCCGGCCAAAGTCCACACAATTCAACACACACAATTTATCCTATATACTGCGTGAATGAGATGGTGCGGTCAGAAAGAATCATCCAGTCTTTAAAGATCTAAATCTGTTGAACTTGAGTTGCCACTGCCTGGGGACATCCTCTAAATGACTGTTGACCATCTGTGAGCTGACCGCAGACTGATGGTGATCTGGGAATAGCTGCATTCAAGTTATACACCAAAAGCTAGATCTAAACAGGAAACACTGAGATGTAAACATGTTACCTCCTGCCTCAAACTTCAACACACCGGGATTTCAACTCTTACTTATACCGTAGTCCAAATGTACCTCTAATGATACACGGGGCCCTCTGGAGTTTTAGTGTACTTTTTGTTTAGAGACACATCTATGTTTTTGTCATATTTTGAGTTTAGAAGAACTTTATCCCTGGTTTAGTCTCATTTAGTCTCACCATGTTTATGCCTAATTTGAGCTGTCGTTGTGTCCTTAGGCAAGACACTTCACCCACATTGCCTAGCATGAAAATGGAGGGTGTGGTGTGTTGGTGGTGGTCAGAGAAACCAATGGCAAAAACTGGCAGCTTCGCCTCCATCAGTTCAGCAAGTCACAAAATCTTATGTTGATCCTATGAAATGATTAGAGCATTTGTGCTTCTTACACCTCTCCTGTGATTCAGATTTTCTTAATTTTGTGTCTATCCTTTGCCAGTACCAGATTTTAAGTATTACTTAATTTTTAATTCTTTCTAATTACCTTAACTTCAAATTATAACGCTGATGTTACGTCCTGACAGTTACTCTTTAAGTTACTCTTACTTTCTTACACCACTACTTTGTACTTCTGCTTGAGCTATATCATTTTAAGTAATGTTACTCTTACATGAGGACAGTTTTTGGCTACTCTACCCACCTCTGGTTATGTCAAACCAAATTTTTTTCTTTCTATTATCCATTAAAATAAATATGAATTACTCCCTGCAACTGACCATATTGGAAACCAGACGCTCTATTTGGAACATTCAATAGTCTCCTACAGTGAGCATCTGAGGACAGGGACACACACATATGTTTCAGCATGTCAGAGGGACAAAGGACACTGGGGGGACATAAGGGGGGACAGTTATGTGATTGACTTGTCCTGCTGCCCATGCATTCAGGAGCCCATGTAAAGAGCTGACTCGTGCCTCCTCTCTCACATCCTCCGGGGGCCGCACAAAAAGCAGGGGACGGGGCCGCACAATGGGCCCCTGGTGCTGTTGACATGGGCATTATACTCACAAAAGGCCCCCGTGTCCAGGGACCCCACACGTTTCCTGTTCTCCTCTGTGATGTATGGCGAATCCCCGTCGCACTCTGTCAATATATGTTTCATTTGACATGTATGTTTGTCATGTAGCAGAACTCAAAATACTACAACAGCATGTGAGTTCATGCGAAAACAACTACAGAAAAGAAGGAAAAAGTTTACTTATATGGGGAAAGCTAGATTAAATACACAAATCTTGAGATAATCCACTCTCTACCTTTCTACTGTTGTGCTTATAATTCCTTATAATTGGGGATGCAACGATACAATACTGGTATCGGATTTGTCAATATTGAAAATTTTGATGGATCAAATATCGGTTTAAAGATATTGGTTCAGTCTATATTGGTTCGGTCGATATCCCATTTTGGTCTGTAAACTGGTATGATAAGACAATTTACTGGACAACGTTGACCTCAAACAGCTCACAATATTTTTCAAAGCTGTTCTGTAGTTACTACAAAATGTATTTGGAGAATTTTTAACATATATATTTTTACCAGACAAATAAAATACATTTTAGTCTCAGTTTCTGATCTAGTATTGGCTGATATCGAAGATCAACAGATACTTAAGTATAGATAAGCATTATCAGAACAGAGAAAGCTAGATCGGTCCATTTCTACTATTTGGTTGCCCATCGACCAAGTAATCAACTAATCAACTAAACCAAAATAACTACAGCCCTACTTGATTTGTGGTTCATTTTCTGATATTATTGCTTTTAAAATTCAGATGATAATATTAAAGGTGCACTATGAAACTGTTTCGGTGAAGGATCTGCCACCTGCTTGTCTGCATAAAAACACTGTATCATTGCTTTGTCTGGAATGAATAGCATCAACCATCTATCTTACATTTATTGAATTACACGTTTTTATTGCAGAAGAAATACCTTGAAAAAACATTTTTACTGTGAGATAGAGTCGCCTCTCCGCAGATCTGACCTTTAATTTGGTCAGGTGACAAACAGGCCTAACATCTCCATAGAGAGAAAAAAAATATATATAAATAAATAAAAACATCCATGGAAGTACAGAAGTGGTGGATTAAATATAATTCCATTTTAGTAATTTGAACTGGTCTTTATGTTTCGCTTATTCCAACATTATGAACAAGTCTTGAAATATTAATCGTGGCAATGGGTCTGAAGAGTGGTACTCACGTAACTTACCCCTAGAGGTCCCCGTACCCCGCGTTGGGAATCACTTTTCTGCACGCTGGCAGCTAACTATTCTCATTTGTTTTTTCATATCGTTTTGTTCGAGAAAGAAAAGAAATCAGATACGCCTAAATAAGGACAAATAACATTCAAAGTCATCTATAAAATAACAGCCAGATTGTCTGCAGTGCCGGGCCCCTGCGCCGGCCTTCCTCCCCGCTCCTCTGTGCAACATCTGGCGACAGCCCCTCTCCAGACCTCCAGACCGTGCACACACTCGCAGCAGACCGAGCCGAGGCTGTTCTGTTCTGGGCTGGTGTTTCCCTTGTGCGCATGTCCGCTCCCCGCAGCAGCCAGAGGAGCGACGGGGCACCCACTCTACAGTAACGGGACACCCAGGGCCAGGGGACTGCATCTATGGAGCGGCTCACAACTCACTTTTCAAAGCCTTCTAGTCCACGATGAACTTTTGGATTTCCGTAAGATGTATTTCCAGATAAGCTGCTCCATCCTCCTCGCCGTCTACTTGGTCTGCCAGCCGCTGCGAGCTCAGGGTAGGTCCCGTGGCGCGACATCCAACGCTGGTCAACCGCGATTTCTTTCAAACATAAAACTCTTTTTCAGATTAAAATACACCTTTAAACGAGATTAACACCTGCTTTCCTTGTACTTCTGACTTTTCTCTGCTAAGTAAACGCAGTGTCGTTAGCTAAAGTCCCCTAGAAATTGTCCAACTTTACGTGGATAAACCCAACTTAAGTGCGTAAAAGTTAGTCAAGATGTTTGCATATGGAACTACTACGTCAATTTACGATAGAGTTACAAGTTAAAATGTATGCACAATGTTTGGAAGAGGAGATGTGACCATGATCCAGAGTTAGTCCAGGATTAGTGAACGCTAGCCTTACTTTCCCGTTACTTTTGGAGAGGGCTAGCCTGCTGCTGTAGCGAGCGAGGGGACAGGAAACTGCATAGGCTACTGCACAGGACCGAAGCCTTTTGGTTCTTTTTCTGCAATAAACCTTGAATGCCAAAGTTAAAAGACGTGTGCAGTAGATTTATGGACAAGAGACAAAAGCATGGAGAGAGGCACGGCGGAGTTAGGGATCATGCAACGGGCGACATATTCCCTCCGCCCGGCTGCCATAACTGTCAGAAGTACTGCTTTGTGCAATGAGCGCCCTGATCCAATATTGCTCTGAAAATTCAAGTTTTGTTTTGTTTTTTTCAGGCATGCTCGTTTATTGTTTATCACATAGACTCTGATCTGAGGGTTTCCTTATCAGTGGATGCTGCGTGAAAGGCATTGGCTTCAAAGGATGGACAAAGATAGGAAAATTTCACATCTAATTTACCCTTACATAGAATGTCCAGGCGTCCCCATTTACGCGGGACAGTCCCATTTTTACTCCTGTGTCCCCTGTCCCAGCAGATTTATCCAAAACCATTGATTTGTCCCAATTTTATACAAGAAATATCCATGGTGCCCCTATTTTTGACCAATTTGATACATGCCAACAATAAAGAGAGACATACATTGTCCTTTGTTTAGGTAAAATCCAGAAAAGCATGCTTAAAAATGACCAAAACGCTATACTGAAGAAGAAAATGTGGCTATACTGACTCACATGTTTGTCATGAATGGGCCAAGTGCAGAACAATTGTCATTAGTTACGCACTTGTTTCACAATTTTATTATTACCAACCACTACAAACCGGGGGTGTCCCAGTTTTTGATTTTGAAATTGTGGTTACCCTACCCTAACAGTAAAATGTAACAAACATTTGGTCAAATTTAGTCCACAAATATAAAATTGAATGATCTTTTCATTTATTAGTAATTAGGGTTAGAGTTGCACCACTACTGGTATTGGACATTCCTGCTAATACTAAAAAATTAGCTAGATAGGATATCGGCTTCCAAATATCGGTTCATATCCTGATTGGACATATGAATTGATGTGATAAGACTGTTTAATAGTCATAGTTGGAATATTTTAATACAAAGTTGTCCTGTTGCTACTTCAGAACAGCTACATAACTCATTTGGATCAGTTTTGTCTTATTTTACTTGTTTATTTCATTATGTTTTAAGAATATAAATGCTGTTTTCTGTCTCAACGGTGGTACTGGTTGACGTTGAGTATCGGAAGATACTTAAAGCCATATCGAAATCAGTATTGGAACTGAAAAAGCTGGATCTGTGCATCTCTACTGAAAATGTAACATTACATACGCCAAGTTCTGATAAATTACTAATGAGTAGCGATAGTTTAGTTTTGTTAGAGTTATAGTTTCAATCAATTAGTGTCTAATTTTCAGTACTTTTGACAACGATCTGTTACAAAATAAATTATAACTGATTGTGCCTCTTGCAGGCTATTTGAAAGTGAAGGCAGCAGCACACAAGCAATATGCACATGATAACAATAGTCCTAAAACATGCATGCTTTCAGATTATTATTCAGATATGATGTTTCTCTCTTGGATGCAACAAGAGCCAGTATTTCTGTATTTATTCTCATAAGCAATATCTACAACAAATAAAGCACAAACTGTAAATCTGATCTCAATTAGCCTAGTGGCAAGGTCCATTCCTGCAGTAGGCCTATATCTAAACACATACCAGACATTTGAATAAAGTAGACAATGTTGTGACATTATCTGAGACATTCTGTTTTTGCCAGTACTCTCCAGGAAACATTCTCCAGCCAAAACTGTCATCTGCCCAAAGCATTCCACTCAGATGGAAAACAAAGAGCGTATTTGTTTTTCTTAAAATCTGCCAGTTATTGTGAGGAAAATTTAATTAAAATGTATTCAATTTGGTGAGAGTGCTTCTTTGAGCTTTTGCCTGACATTTTCATGTTTGTATATTTCATTATTGCAGGAATTTGATTTATGCAGTTGTTTATGATGTAATAATACCAAATTCATGATACACTGAGGTTGTGGTAACTTTACGACGTTTGTATGGTGATTTCTGGCAGTCGGTAGCTTCCTCTCCAGGGTTAGTGATTATTTAATTTAGAGTCAAGTAAATTCACATTTTAAACATCTCTTTGTGCTTTTTTCTGTGCTGTTTTCATAGTTCACATGGTTTAGGCCTAGATTAGACATTGTATCATTGTGTAATTGAAATGGAAAATCGTGTTGTATGTTAAGTTTCATAATATGAACCCTAATGTGCCAAAAGATTTTTTTAAGGTTTCATATGAGGTACTAGTGTGAAAGGTTTGAGAACCATTTGCCCTATTGCAATATTTGCTCCTTTATATGCCCTATTGGAATCTGCATACTCTATTGTCAGTTGTTTTTTGCCACCTGCCGTCATATTGGTTGTAAATGCTAATGTAAACAAATGTAAACTCCAAAGGAAACATGCAATAACTTCCCACATAACAGTATCAATATCAAGGCCTATATTATGCTATTTTCTGGTCTGTAATGATGTTGATTCCTCATCGAAATCATCCCCGGAGTTATGTTTTGTTTCATTCTTACATATTTGACACACAAACCCTGTATATTTAGTTTTTCTCTTAAACAGAAAACACACTAATCTCCTTTGCGATGTCATGTGGTAAACTCCACTGTGTTTTAAAAGCCCATACACTTTCACTAGAATCATTTGTATATTTTCAGCCCTGGAATTTGCCATCTCTACTGTACAAAAGGTAAAAGGTAGAGCTGTTAACGTAAAAAACTACAGCTTCTTCACAACACAACTGAATTTTTTGTAATATTAGATCTTTAAGCCAGTTTTTAGGACAATGTCATCTTTTCGGTGTTGGATTAATAACTCTCTCTTCTCGATAAAGTCTGTGAAAAGCTATATAAAAACATGATAGAGCCAGTATGGCGCCAATTGCCCTGATATTCTTATGTAATCTGCACTGACTGACTTGCATGACATTTATGACGTTTAAAGTTTATCGAGCAATGTTCACTGAAATTGAGTAAAGAATGCATTTTGATCAAAGACCATTTCTCATTGTATAAATCCATAAAAGTAGTGTTCAACTTTACATTCTGTTGTTAGTACTTAGCATCAGCCCTCTGCTCTGTCTGTTAGTGCAGGCTATCTGAGAGCTACAGCGGGAGTCTTTAGAGATGCTAATGAAGCTGCAAACTAGTGTCAACACAACAAAAGTGCTGTGTATTGGACTTGTAAGACAACTGGCCTTCAATTAGCTCTCACTTGCTAATTGACTAAACTAACATTAGCCATTTTGTTGTCTTAGGACTGTGTTGAATAAGCCATTTGGCCCCGGTCTGTTATCTGGAGGCTGGGGCTCAGATGCTGGAGGCCTTTGAAGTCACACCACATGGAGGCAGCATGTCCGTGTGTGAGGATTGCCGTAGATGGTCGTTTTTCTTCTAGTGCCACGTTGACCTGGGACTTGAAAGAACAGAACCCGCTCTCAGATCTCCTTTTGGGCCACACATTTGCTCTGGAGTTCTCTGGCAGTACAAGTTGTGGAGCTGTGTACAAAAACATATATGTTGAAAGGATAGGCAGGCAGAGTAACTGTCTGCATCAACTAGGACTGTATTTTAAAGGTCTTATCGTACCTTTAGCCATGTTATAATGTTGTTACCTCATCAAAAACATAACCGGTGTTGTGTTTTGTTTCATTCACACATGTTCGCATAATCCTTTATTACTAGTCTGTCTACATCTCCAAAGCTCAAAATGCTCTGTTCCATCTTGTGTTGTCATGAAGAGGAGTTTTCAAGTTAACAGCTCCTTTTACCTTTAGTTCAGCAGAGATTGGGAATTCCAGGGCTGAAATTATCCAAATGATTCTAGTGAAGGTGTGAATGGAGTTTAAAAACACAGTGGATCACTTCCTGTATTAGCACATGAATTTAGTGTTTTCTGTTTGAGAGAAGAACTCTAAACCTAAACTCTAAGCCTAAATATACAAGGTTTGTGTGTTAAACATGTGTGAATGAAATGAAACAAAACACAACTCCAGAGATGTTTGTGATGAGAAAACAACAAAACATGGATCAGTAAATAGTGTAGTATGGGACAAAGGATGCGATTCTTTGCTAAACTGTTATTTCATCAGGTATACAATGCACAGCGCACTATGTAAATTCTATGGTGGAAAGGTTTGTCACCTGCTTCTCTCCATGGTGACGTTATTGATTTGCCAAGAATGTGTCACAGTATTGCAATAAACTAATTTGTCTCCCTGGAAGTAACGTCATGCAACAGGCCATGTTACAGGTCAGATCTGTGGAGAGACAACCTCTAAGAATGTCAGTATGTATTTAAGGTATTCTTTTAGCAACAAAAACAGTAATAACGGAATCAATGCAAGATATGTTCATGGCGATTAGGGTTGTCAAAAGTATAAAAAATCAGATACTAACTGACACTAAAACTAGTATTGAAAGTAGATAGTAATTTTAGTAGGTATCGATCCTAAATAGCTTTAGAATGATCCTGAATAGCTTTAGAATGATCTTGATCTGTATTAGAACAAGTACAAGGTCACGTAGACTAGTATACGCATTATGGAACCTACTTGGACAAAGAGGG